TGGTGTGTGTGTGTGTGTGTGTGTGTGTGTGTGTGTGTGTGTGTGTGTGCTCTCACATGCGCATCCCTGTGTAGCCTGGAACTCAATTGTGGAGATCCAGTAGCAATCCTCCTGCCTCCCAAGTGCTCAGACTACAAATGTGAGCCACCATGCCTGGCTAATTTCAAAGAGTCTTCTGTAAACATTGTTCCCCTTACAGTTAAGGGGGCGGGGGACCAAGAGCTCTGCTGGGGCAGAGAGCGCCCTTCATGCTTACCCAAAGGCCAGGGTCACTTGAGTTTGTAGCGCCCTCAGCAGTCCTGAGGGCCCCTCTTGTGTTTAGACTCCCTTACTCTACTCCCGGTGAGATGAGCTCAAGGGCTGGGCCAGGTGACAGAACGCTGCTCACTGGGTCTTCCCTCCTGCAGGGACTGGCCTGCACCTCAGAGCCTTGACACTGTCTCATCTGCAAAGCCCAAAGCAGTGTTTTCTAGAGAAGGGAGCCGCCGTTCCAGCAGAGGGAGAGAGAAGAGGTTTCCTGGAGAAACCCGGGTAGCCCCAGGCTTGTGTTACGGCACAGCCAGAAGGTGCCAGTTCTGTAGCATTGCAGGATGCCCTCAAAGCCATGGGAGGGATCAAGGGGCCACGAGGCCACCAGAAAACCAATCCATTGTAAATGCCAACCTCTACCTGAATGCCCATCCAGGTGGAGCTGCCAAGGTAAAATCACCCCGCGGCGCCCACATTTGGAAGGCTTTTGTTTCTTTTTTAGTCGTGTTTTGAAGTTGCTGAAGGAAGGGAAATTTGAGAAAGGTCTTTGAAGTAGGAGCAGTGCTCTGCTCGAGGATTCTACAGCAGGAGCCCTGTAAGATAGCCTTGCCTCATCAGCACCCCGGCTGTCCCTCCCCACCAGATCTTCAGGGCATCCCCAGCCTGAATCTAGGGTCCCCACTGGGAACCTGGCAGGTCTCTGTGCAGCAGCCAGCAGAGTTAGTTCCGTGGTTCTCCATGGCAGCCAGGGCACAGACTCTCTGTCTTCGTGCCGGGCCCCCACTGGATGCCCGGGCTTGGATGTCTTTCAGACCTGACTTCGGTTCATGAAAAATTCAGTTCCTGACTTTGCTGCCACTGGATCTATTTGCGAGGCTCCTGGTCCCAGCTTCCTTATCTGCTAAGTAGGGATACCTTCCCTAGCTTCTGTGAAAGGGAGCAGTGAGTGAATGTCAGAGGCAGAGCAAGATCTGCCCTGCGGAAAGGCTGGCTATCTGCTGCCCACCACCACCGCTCCTTTCACTCGATCTGCTTAGACCTCTGCCCCTCACACGCCCAGCCCTCGTGCTGACAGAAAAGAGCACAGACGCCCACGGCTAGTTGGCCGGATGGCCGGTCTCCACTCCTCCCTCCATTTTTCTTTGTTGAGAGAGGGTCTCTTGTAGCCCAGGCTGGCCTTGAACTCACTCTGTAGCTGAGGCTGGGCCTTAACTCCTCACCCTCCTGCTTTGGTCTCCCAAATCCTGGGAGTGTGGGCATGTGCTACCATGTCAGTCTTTTGAAGTGGGTTTTAGTCTAATTTTTTGCCTAGGATCCACTCCACAAAGCATAGATTAACCTGGTTCTAGGTGGTGAATCCAGAGTATTGAGTTGGAAAATAATCATTTTGCAGACTGCCTTTTTTTTTGCCCTTGTCTGGTCCTTCCTGCTGTATGGCTGAAAGTATATTCCACCGAAGAGCAACCCTTAGAAAATTATTTGTTTGTTTACTTAACTTATTTCAGACAGGGTCTTACTTTGTAGCCCCGGCTACCTGGAACTTGCTATATAGAGCAGGCTGGCCTCGAGGTCAGAGAAATCTGTCTGCTTCTGCCTCCCGACTGAAGAATGACGTCCTTTTTGTCCCCAGCTTTTGGGTCCCATGTGTGGGGTCTAAAGCCAGAGTACCCTCAGGTGTGTTGTGGCTTACGTGACTGACAGGGTGGAGGAGCTGTGTGTCTTAGTTGATGTAAAGGCAATTACAGGGTCTCAGAACAGTTTCGTTAAAGTTTCATTAGCAGCTTCATGTTTGAAAATCAAATTTGGCAAAGCAATCTTGTCTTTGAATGATTGTAGCCAGATTTTTGTTGTCTCGCTGGTTAGCTTTTGTTTTTTCTTCTTTCATTCTCATTTCTCTCTCTCTCTCTCTCTCTCTCTCTCTCTCTCTCTCTCTCTCTCTCTCTCTCTCTCTCTCTCTCTCTCTCTCTGAGATAGGGTCTCACTATTTGTTCTGGCTGTCCTAGAACTCAGGATGTAGACCAGGCTGGCCTTGAACTCACAGAGATCCATCTTCTCTACCTGCCTCCCAAGGGATTAAAGGTGTGCCCAACCACACCCAGCCTCTCTTCTTTTTCCAGTGTTAGGGATCCCGTCCAGGGCCTTGCACGCGTGAGGCCCGTGCTCTACGACTGAGCTAGAGCCTTTCTCCAGGGGTGGTCCTCTCCCTTCCCTTTTGGCCTTTCTCCTTTCTTCCTCTTGTCTCACTATGTAATTCAGGCCAGTCTGAACGGGTGGAGCCAGATTTCGAGTATCTTAGTTCAGGTAATTAGTGGCGAGGGCCTCGCCATCACTTTAGTCCTAAAATCTTGAGGGCCAGTCATCCAGTGGGATGAGTACTGACTGCCTTTACAGATGAGAAAATGGAGGTAGTTGAGGCTGAGTGACTTGCCCAATGCCTTTTCTCTTGTAAGGAACAGTGTGGGAATTCAAACAGCAGGGGCAGGGTTCAGGCAGGCCTGTTTCTTAGCCATGGAGATGCCGCTCCTTTAGACATGGAGACGCTGTTCCTTTAGACAGAGGTGGAGCGGTATGTGGTGAAGCATTTGGTGCTGGATTCCGCCTCCCTGGGGAGGAGACCATCACAGTGATAGATGGGCTGGCGTCCCCAATGTGCTGCTGTCACTGATTAAGGTATAACTGTACTAAGGGAAGTAAATGATTAACAGGAAAATCGTAACCAGCTTCCGTATTTCTTTGTTCCTTGTGAAGTTTTTAACTGTATGAAATAATTCTGCTTTAAAACTGGATATTATAGCCGGGCGGTGGTGGCACACACCTTTAGTCCCAGCACTTGGGAGGAAGGCAGAGGCAGGTGGATCTCTGCGAGTGTTATTTATTTTATGTGTATAAATGTTTGCTTGCATGTATGTTAAGTACACTGAGTGTAAGTCCATGGAAACCAGAAGAGGGCCCCAGATCCCCTGGAACTGGAGTTACACATGGCTCAAGCTGCCCCTGTGAGGACTGAGGACTGACCCCTGATCCCCTGCAAGATCGGCAAGTGCTCTTAACCACTAAGCCGTCTGTCCAGCCCCTAGCTGCTGCTGCTTCTTATTTTTATTTTTTTTATTTTTTTTTTTAGATTTATTTATTATTTATTTATTTATTTATTATGTATATGGAAGAGGGCACCAGATCTCATTACAGATGCTTGTGAGCCACCATGTGGGTGCTGGGAATTGAACTCAGGACCTCTGGAAGAGCAGTCGGTGCTCTTAACCTCTGAGCCACCTCTCCTGTCCCCTGCTTCTTATTTTTAAAATTGCATTGATTAGAGTAAATTCTAGAAGTCTGGATACAGTCTGAAATACGGAAATTCTAGAAAAAAGATAAATTCTGTGATTTGGTCCCTCGAACATGAAGTCTTTGTGTTGTGTTTTACAGTTCTGGGCGTAGAACCAGGGCTTTTTTTTTTTTTTTTTTTTTCCACCTTAGGGAAACATTCTGCTACAGAGCTGTAAAGCTTACTGCACTGTCTTAATGACGTTTCACTGTGTAGCCCAGACTTGTGACTTGCCTGCCGTGGCCTGCTGAGTGCTGGGATTGTAGGGATGTGCTGCCACCAGCTTGAGCTTTCAAATATGTGTTCTCAATATTAGACAGAGCTGATAAGCATTTTTCTGTTTTCTTTTTTCTGTTTTTTTTCTTTTAGGTTTTTGTTTTGTTTTGTGTTTTTGAGAAGGGTTTCTCTGTGTAGCCCTGTCTGTCCTGGAACTCGCTTTGTAGACCAGGTTGGCCTCGAACTCATAGAGATCTGCCTGCCTCTCCCTCTTGAGTGTTGGGATTAAAGGCATGTGCCATCACCACCTGGCTGTTTTTCTTCTTTTTAAAACTTCTGATTAGGGGCCGGAGAGACAGCTCGGTGGTTAAGAACACTGGCTTCTCTTATAGAGGACCCAGCACCCATGTGGTGGCTCACAACTGTCCATAACTCTAGTCCCAGGGGACATGATGCCCTCCTCTGGTTTCTGGAGACACCAAGGTATACACATGGTACATAGGCAGAGATGCAGCCAAAATACCCAAACACATAAAATAATAATAAATTTTTATTAGCACAATATTTTTATTAGCATAATGAAACCCATTACTGGATGCAATTACGCACAGTAATGGGTTTCATTATGACATTTTTATATATGTATATAATGCATTCTGATCTTATTCACTCTCTAGGACCTTCTCTTGTCTCATTCCCACTGAATCCCTTTCTCTTCCCAACTAGTCCCCTTTCTCCATTTGGGGTGTGTGTGTGTGTGTGTGTGTGTGTGTGTAAGTATGTGTGTTTTGACACAGTGAATTTTATCAGGGTTTCTTACAGGAGTATGGGCACCTGAAGAAAGAAAGCTCTCCATCCCTACATCTCCCTTTTGGGGGAACAGGTTCCTCTATAGTCCAAGCTCACTGTGTAGCTGAAACTGGCCTTGAACTCCTCCTGATCCTCCTGCCCCTCTCTCCTCGATGCTGGGAGGCATGGACCCCAATGCCCAGCATGTCCCTTTTCTTGTCGTTTTACCCCTTCAAAAGGATTTCTCCAAAGCCAGGTGGAGCAGGCAGAGAGGGTGACTACGTCACACTTAGATGCTTGTCCTACTCGGAGTCTGAGGGAAGGGGACCCTTGTCCTTGGCACGGGGGTGGTGAGTTGGCAGTCACTTGGGTGTTGGGGGGAGAGATAGAGACCTTGCCCTCACCTGGCTTTGTGTTCTTCTAGGTGTACTTGGTCACCATGAAGCCCCTGCACCCAGCCCTCCCTGGCTGCCTCCTCTTGGTGCTGTTTGGTATATGGCGGACTGTCCCCCAGACTCACGCCTCATCCGCTGCCGTGCCAGCCCTCAGCGCCACCTCTTTCCTGGAAAACCTCATGAACCGCTATGGGGAGAATGACAGCCTTACCCTGCCACAGCTGAAGGCCCTGCTCAACCACCTGGATGTGGGAGTAGGCCGGGATAATGTTACACACCCCAGGGAAGGACACAGGAACCTCTCCACGGTAAGGCTCCTCTCTGTCGGGTGGGCCTCGGTGGCAGTCAGCTGCCACCTCTGTTGGGATCGACGCATCTGCACGTCCAGTGAGGCCTCCTGACCACCTACCTGCCTGTTAGTTTCCTGCCGCGCCTGGGTCATTGCTCGCAAACCATGGCTCCCAGGACAGCGCAGGCAGAGAGTTTGCTGTTCACACACCTCGCCAGATGCGCCTCACAGCCCCCTCAGATGCAGGAGGAATTGTTTTTCTGGGGAGTGGTTTCATGAGGGTTCCTGGGATGGGGGCTGAGACTCTAGTCTCAGACTTTTACTGATCTCGTCTCTAGTTTTGGATAAAACCCGGGACTTTTAGCCCTTGGTTCTGTGTTCTTCCGTATTATCACAGCTACTTGGAATCAGGGGCTACTTGTGGCAGCCCAATAGGAGTCAGCCAGCAAAGTCCTTACATTCTGTTTTGCTCCTCCCAGAGCATTGTGGGAAGTGGGGAGACACAAGTCACAGTCAGGGAGCTCAGTGGTTAGGAGCGCTGGCTCCTTCTGCAGAGGACCTGCATACCGTGGTTGAGTGGAGGAGCTCAGCTAGCTGAAAACCAAGTACCACATTTTGTGGGCTGCGCTGTAATTATGGGGTTCGTCTGTGAGAAGTGAAGGTGCCAGCATAGTTGAGGGTTTGTGCAGGAGGCACGCTGAAGCCACACCTAGAAGGATGAATAGGCTGGGGCTTGAAAGGAGAAAGTGGACAGGGCACCGTGTAGCGTGCACGCAGAGCTGCTCAAGTGTGACCAGTGTCGGCATCACTGAGGAGGCCGAGGGTGCCACATGGGCAGTGGGTAAGAGGCAGGCCTTCCATCAGGGACTTAGACATGGGCCTTAGGGTCTGCAGCAGTATTCTGGGGTCAACAGAGTGCAGCACTTAGACTTTATTGGTCTAAAAACCTGTATTGTCGACATTCCCAGAGGGCTGACTCTCATGGGCAGACCCTGATAAAAGCACAGGCAGAGAAAGGACTGTGATTTACGTGAATAAAGAGCAATTAGTAAAACGGTAGTGTGGGCTCAGGAGGTGTTTCAGTAGTAAGAGCCCCTGCTTTGAAAGCTTGAGGACCCGAGTTTGAATGCCCAGCACCCAGGTGAAATATCTGTAATGGCAGTTCTGTTTTCCGCTGGCTGCCAGCCTAGCTCCAGGTTCACTGAGCGACACTGTCTCGAGGGAGTAAGGTTGGGAGACTAGAAGGATAGGACACCCCATGTCCTCTCCTGGCCTCTTGAATATGTATGTGTATACATCATGTCCACGCACAGAGAGAGGGCGTGGGGAGAGCTCTCAAGTTCAGTTTCCCATGATATGCGAGACTCCCCAAGGTCACTGCGGGTACCTGTGTCTGCTAATCAGCACACGTCCGTACTCCAGCAGAAGTTTCTATAATTTGCATTTTAGCAGAATAGTCCCCTGAGCTGTTGTGACGTGCAGCCAAATTTGGATATCAGGTTTGCAGATAGAATCCAGTTTTTCTGAACGCACACCCTGGTCACGTGATTGGAAGCTTGTCTTCCACTGCCACCCCACTCCCAGTAGGACTGGACCTGGACCTTCCAGGCGTACACTGGGCAGACACGCCACGCCTGAATGACATTCCCCAGCCTCCTTTTATTGTATTCTCTCTTCGCTTGGAGCGAGGGTCTTGCCGAGCTGCTCAGGCTGGCTTTGAATTTCCTTTGTAGCCCAGGCATCCTTTGAAGCTGCAGTTCTCCTGCCTCAGCCACCCAAGTAGCTGAGGTTAAGGTCCCCCTGGGGATCTGAATGTTCCCCAAACCTCTTCCTGCATCCATTTTCAGCTGTGTGTACTAAGCATGTTGGTGGCTGACCTTTTCAAGTGCAGGGATTCCTTACTCATCTATCCCTGGAGATGCGTCTCCAGAGTCTCTGCGATTTGGCCGCGTCCGTTTTTTCTCTTTATTTCTCAGAGGGTTGAGTACCTTGCCACTTGGCGGGGCAGAGCCCGACTTTTAGGTTCTAAGAGCCCTCCCGCCTCTTCCTCTGGTTTCAGTGCTTTAGCTCTGGAGACCTCTTTGCTGCCCACAATTTCAGTGAGCGGTCTCAGATCGGGATGAGTGAGTTTCGGGAGTTCTGCCCCACCATTCTCCAGCAGTTGGATTCCAGGGCTTGCACCTCAGAAAACCAGGAGAACGAGGAAAACGAGCAGACAGAGGAGGGGAAGCCTAGCGCCATTGAAGGTAAGTAAGGAATAGAGGGGGAGTGGAGTGAGGGGTAGATTTGGATCATTGACATGTGCACCAGACTGTTCCACTACATCACCAGACCCTGGGTGGGCTGGCTGGTGAACACAGGGCATTGGGTCCTGGCCAGCATGTGAATATGCTCTTTTTTTTTTTAACTCTTTGTTTCCATTACACTGTAAGAGTGCCAACCTTTATGACCTCCCTTGGCTACTTCATTATCCCCACCTCCTAGTACCGCCCCTCTAGCTAGAGTGGATTCACCCTGTCTGAGTCCTTGGGTGCCTTTCGGAAGCCCTCTGTAGCCAGCAAGAGCTACCAGACCTAACGTGTTGCCTTGATAAGTACACGTGCTGTCTAAGCCATGGTATACACGCCTCCATGTTGAGTCTCTTCCTCTAAAAGGTAAGCTGCTCGGACAGCAACCTTGACATTGTTTTTCTGAGGCTTCCCTAGCGAGAGATGGAGTCACCAAGCATTTCCTGAGGGGCTGCTGGACCTCTGTGTGCCTAGATCACGCTCAGCAGCAGAAGCGCCCGCCCTCAGTAATGGAGGCCCTCGTCTGTTTCTTGTTCCTCCGCAGTGTGGGGCTTTGGGTTCCTCAGTGTCTCACTGATTAACCTGGCCTCTCTCCTGGGAGTCCTGGTCCTGCCGTGCACGGAGAAAGCGTTTTTCAGCCGTGTGCTCACTTACTTCATCGCCCTGTCCATTGGAACGCTGCTCTCTAACGCACTCTTCCAGCTCATCCCAGAGGTGCAGTAGAACAGACGCGCGTTCGCCTTTCCCGGGCCGCCCCAGCCGAGCCCTCCTCCGGCTGACATCCTCCCTCTATGCTCTAAGGCTCCCAATAACTGCCACCCCAGAAAATGAATCTACTCTTCATATCAGGGGGTCCAGTACCTTCTCTCCTTCCTCTGCTCACTCAGGTTGGCCTCTGGCCTGTTCGGGGTGACATCAGATGCAAGGTTCTTAACATTTGTGGCCCCTCTTGGGGAACCTCCTTTGGCTGCACACCAGAACCCCCGTTTATCGGAGTCCAAAGGAAAGTTGCAGTTTGTGGGTGCGTGGTCCAAGGCAGGCCCTGTATCCTAAGGGAAATCGTGAGGTTGCTCGTGTGTGGTCTCCATTTGATCATCCACGAGAAATGAGGCGGAAAGAGGGGGAGTTACAGCGGCTCTGTGTAGAGCTGGCCTCAAACGTGTGAGCCCGATTTTTAATCAAGGCAGCTGTGGCAGCACTTGGAAGTCTGAGGCAGGAGGATCACAGCTTTTGGGCAACTTAGCAAATATGTTGTTCCCACCAAAACAAATGCGATACCCGAGAGAGAAGCTCAGTCGTTGGTACCTTGCATCTTGATCTTTCCCTGACAGGTCTGGCTTCCTGGTAACTCACCCACTGTTTTTAAGTGTCCAGTAATTTTGTTTTGTTAATTGTCATCACTGAGGAGCTACAAAAATAAGACCCAAGTTGACAGTCTGCCCCTTTTCAGCCCAGTCACGTGCTACTCTTGGAGAACTAGTATGTAGCTACCTGGTTGACCCCTTTGGTGGTGTGAAGGCGTTCATAAAAACTCATGTCATTGGCTTCCCAGCTCTCCTCAGCCGAGAGACTGACCCAGGAAAGCTTCCACATGAGGTGTCATGCCCCACCCACCTCCTCCTTCTACACAAGGGAAGCACTGAATTAAGGTCAGCTCCCTTAACAGTTTCAAAACTTGACGTGGACCTAGAAAGTTCTTCCCATGGGAGACCTCACCTTGGGCTATTTTTTTTCAGCTCCAGCCATTGAATTTACTAATTGTTTTTAAGGATTTGAAATGACACGATTCATTGCCCGTTCGGCCAGCACTACTGCCACTGTCCGTGTTACGCCCTTCGGGTCGCACGGGGGTTGCCGTCCTGGTACGGTTTTGTGCTGCCCCCTCCTGAGGGCTGTGCTCACAACCCAGAATGTATCACCTTTGGAAAATGCCTTTGAAATAGATTTCGATGATGGGTTGGCCTTGGAACTCTGCTTTCTACACCGGGTCCCTCCCAGAGCACATAGGAACAGACAGACACAACTGTTCAGAAGCCGCGTCTGATGGGTGGCGAGTCTTACCTGTCCCACCCTGCACGTGACTTTGTTACACCTTCCCCAGACCACCCCACCCGTGGGTAGTGTCACGTGTGCCTCCGCGAGGTGGCTTCAGTGTGCAGAAGCAAAGCCAGCGACCCACCAAACATCTTCTTCTTCCCGTTTGCTCTCGTGCCCTGTTTTAAAAGGCCCTGAGTTCGCAGTCTGTGCTGGTCCTGGGCACGCGGTGTGTGTGATGAGGCCGCATCCCGCCCTGTTTGCCAGTCACACCAGCTGGCGGGTATGAGTCGGCCACCTCAGGAGCAGGGACAGTGTCACAGGGTTCCAAGGCCACCTCAAATTCCTCCTCATACCCTCCTGCAATGATTGAAGGAAATTGCATCAGCCTCGAATCACTAACAAGTTTCCTGTTTCTCTCTCCCTCCCTACTTGTCTCTGGTTTTTCTTTTCGGGTTCCTTCGTTAATACCCACAACTCTGCTCTCCACCTCCTTTCCCCAATGGTGGTTGCCCTGCTCCCTGTCCTGGGTGGGCTGGCAGTATGGGGGTACGGTCTCCTCTGCGTTACCGTCATCTCCCTCTGCTCCCTCATGGGGGCCAGCGTGGTGCCCTTCATGAAGAAGACTTTTTACAAGAGGCTGCTGCTCTACTTCATAGCCTTGGCGATTGGAACCCTCTACTCCAACGCCCTCTTCCAGCTCATCCCCGAGGTATGGCAAGCTGCAGCACTCGCCCCAAAGCACCCCCCTGTCTGCTAGGGGACAGTCAGCACAGGGGGCGGCCCCTCCGTTCGCATGGAAGGTGTAGGGACTAGCTCCCAAGGTCCTTTCCGTTTGGAAAGCTCGGACCAAGGCAGGAGCTCAGAGAGGTTTAAGAGCTGGGTCGAAACCCATCTTTTCTATCCCCAGATTTTACATCCTGGACCAGCCATTCACCTCTCTGTTCTTTGTTCAAAATGGCAAACAGTAAGATTGACCTCAAAGGCACACGAGGGCCTCCAAAGTGCTGGGACTGTTAAGTGAAAAGCCAGTATCTTGGGACTGGAGAGATGGCTCAGTGGTTAAGACCTGCTCTGGTTTGAGCCTCAGCACCCACACAGAGCTTACAAACTCTAACTCCAGTTCCAGGGGATTGGATGCCCTCTTCTGGCCTCTGCAGGCACCAGGCACACTCGTGGTACATGCAGACAAAACACATAAAATATATATATATATATATATATATATATATATATATATATATATATATACATATATACATACACACACACTTTTTTTTTTAATAAAAATGAAAAAGAAAAAGAAGCTAATGTAGCTCTGACTCTCAGTGCGGGGACTTCAATTCAGAGAAACAAAAGCATGACAGAATCCACAGGGCCTCAGTAAAATCCCAGTTCTCTTTGGTAGGGAGATTGAGGGCCGAGGAAATCCAAAGGAAACAGCATGTCTGTGGCACCTTCGTGTGGATGATCTTCCACAGAAGAGGAGGGAGCCAATGTTTTCAAGCCTGAGTAGTCAGCTTCAGAGGCATTCCATCTGATTTAGTGAGATGCCTTCAGCAGATCTGCTAATTATGATGAGCACAAGGCATTTCGTTGTAGGTGGTCTGACAGGCCTGAGCAAAGGCAAGAGACAGTTTCACATGCTTCTGAGAACACTGTTTTCCACAGTATTGTTTTGTGTTCCCAGTGGAGCACTGTGATACCTATCTACCTAGTCATCTTTACCCACAGAGTCTGACCTGCACCAGAGGCCACTGCCCCAAGCCCAGGGCCCATGAGTCTGAGTCCCGTGCTCTTGAATCCCACCTCACCTCCTGGCTCTTTTCCTTCACATTTTTTTTTTCCCCAGGGTGTACCTCTTCTCCAGGAGAGCTCACCTGAATGTGGGACTTCTTTAGCATTTGCCCTCCAGGTTTCTTAGAAGATGATGCTAGAGGGCTGTGACTAAGTGTGGTACTTTAAACACCCGAAGGACTTTGGGGTTCCCCTTCAGTAGGATCAGCTTCTGTCTGTATCATGTCCCAGAAAGAGTTGGAGGTCTTTTTATTTATTTAATCTAATTAATTAATTAATTAGTTTTTAAAAATTTTTTGAGGCAGGGTTTCTCTGAGTAGCCCTGGCTGTCCTGGAACTCACTCTATAGACCAGGCTGGCCTCGAACTCTGCCTGCCTCTGCCTCCTGAGTGCTGGGACTAAAGGCGTGCATCACCACCGCCTGGCTGAAGTTTATTTTTTGAGGCAATCTCACTCCATGATCTCAAATGCTCTGTCTTCCTGCCTCAGCCTCCTGAGTTCTGGGAATGGAGTTTCTGTGAGCCTGTTTTCTGGTAGAGAAGAGACAAACAGGCCATTGGACACTTGGCACCATAAACCAGGAGCCAATTTAGGACAGGTCTCTGGCTACACCTGTCTTCTGTGTCAGTGAATCCTCTTCTCCTTTCCTTATTTAATAAGTAAAGTTTCCAGAAGGAACTCAAAGAAACATCACCTCCACTCCATTCTTTTCAAACGTATTTTTTATTATATTCTAAAGAGTTGGAATCTTTGTTGGGCAGGCTGGCCTCAGATTCTTGGGCTCCGGGATCCTCCTGCCTCATCCTCCTGAGCTTCAGAAACTGCAGGACCAGCTTTAAACCACCCCAAGATCGATACCTGCAGGGACGTAGCCCGCTTTTTTGGTTTGTGGTCCTTTCAAGGTTCTGTGGTCAGGAACATGTTGCAATTCTTACTGTGGAGCAGGAATGGATTTCCCTTTTTAGCAATTGTCACTAACCCACTTCCCATTGTGTTTATGGGCAGATCAACCAGGGACACTGGATTAGGCAAAAATAAACGCAAGCGGCCTCCCTTTACATGTGGGATTTGATGACTGAGTGCTTGTGTGGCTAAATACTGACAGAAACTAAGGCAATGTTCTCATTAAAAGAGAAAAGCAGCCTCTAATCCCCAGCGCTGGAGAGGTAGAGGCAGGCTGATGTCTGAGTCTGGGACAGCATGGTCTCTGTGGTGACACCTAGTTAAAGAGGAAGGAAGAAAGGAAGGAAAGCCAAGTGAGGCGTGGTAGCTCACGCCTATAATCTAGCACTTAGAGAGGCTGAGGTAGGATATTGCTATGGGTTTGAGGCTAGCCTGGGCTATGGAATGAGATCCTGTCTCAAAAGAGATCAACAACAAACAAACAAGTAGACAACCACCTGCAGTGTCTTTTGCCTAGCTCGAGGCTGTAGAGATGGCTCAGCAGTTAAGAATGCTTGCTCCTCTTTCAGAGGACCAGTTTGGTTCCTACCATCCACATGGCTCACAGATGCCTGCAGCTCCCAGGCTCAGGTGACCTGATGCCCCCTTCATGGCCACCCACATGCACATTCGCAAACACACAGACACATACATATAAATAAATCGTATATATCATATGTGTATGATTCATATAATTATTTATGGGCCAGAGATGTAGCTTAGTGGTAGAGTAGTAGACCTTAGCACACTTAAGGTCTTGGCTGCAAACCCCAGGGTCAGGAAATCCTAAAGCTGGTCTGTCTTTTGTATCAGAAGAGAATACCCACCCAGCGAGTGCTGGCATATCGGGGAATGTCAAGATTAGTTTTTTTTTGCTGGCAAGAGAATGTGTAGACAGCAGAGCTCCCCAGGCTGCCTCTTTCCTAGAGCGGAGAGATTGGTAAGCAGGCGACAGGGAGAGATGAGGGCTTGTTTACTTACACTCACTCTCTTTTCCTGGGCCCACAGGCTTTTGGTTTCAACCCTCAGGACAACTATGTCTCCAAGTCTGCGGTGGTGTTTGGGGGCTTCTACCTTTTCTTTTTTACAGAGAAGATCCTGAAGATGCTCCTGAAGCAGAAAAATGAGGTGAGACCCTGGGGTAGTGATGGAATAGCTAGGGGAAAACTCTGAAACTTCAAAAAAAACACTGGTAGCCACCAGGTGGATCTCTGGGAGTTCGAGGCCAGCCTGGTCTACAGAGCAAGATCCAGGACAGGCACCAAAACTACACAGAGAAACCCTGTCTCGAAAAACAAACAAACAAATAAATGCTGGCATGGGTCAGCGAAATGCCTAAGTGCATGAAGGCACTTGCAGGGCAAGCCTGGCAGTCTCTGCATAGAGGAGAGTAAAGAGGCTTGGTGACATGCACCCAGGAACAGCGCTGACTAGTGTAGCCCCCATAAGAGGCCTCTGGTGCCTGGCATGGGGTCACTGCCTGCTAGAGTTGAGTGAAGTGGCCCTCTTGAAGGAGGAATCTTAAGTACTGAGAGTAGTGGTCACCTCACTGGATCTAGTGACATCGGGAGACTACTTCTTTGTCTGATAGGAAGTCCTTATCTTCATGTCCATGTCTTCGGATACAAATGTTTTCCCATATCCCCGTGTGTGGCCAGCTGGTTTCCTTGGATGTGGAAATAAGATCTTCCCTGGCCTTAGCATGCTTCCTCTGAGCGGGTACTGACTGTGTTGGGCTGGTAGTTTGGGTCAGTAACACCAATCCCTTGCCGTTCTCCAGCACCATCATGGGCATAACCATTTTGCCTCTGAGACTCTTCCTTCCAAGAAGGACCAGGAGGAGGGTGTGACGGAGAAGCTCCAGAATGGGGACCTGGATCACATGATTCCCCAGCACTGCAACAGTGACCTGGATGGCAAGGCACCTGACGCGGACGAGAAGGTCATCGTAGGCTCGATGTCTGTGCAGGTCAGCAGCCATCAGCTCCCGGGGGAGCCTTCAGGAAGCCGTGGCCTCTTCGAGTCAGGCTTACTGGAGTCACCCTGTAATCTCAAGTCCACTGAGGTGTGCTTTCCCGTAGGACCTGCAGGCATCCCAGAGTGCTTGCTACTGGCTCAAAGGGGTCCGATACTCTGACATTGGTACCCTGGCCTGGATGATCACCCTGAGCGACGGTCTCCACAATTTCATCGATGGCCTGGCTATTGGTGCCTCCTTCACTGTGTCTGTTTTCCAAGGCATCAGCACGTCAGTGGCCATTCTCTGTGAGGAATTCCCACACGAGCTGGGTGAGTGCACCACGTTCCCGTTCCCTCTGGGCCAGCCGCCTCAGTTGGTGCCTGAGACACCCTTCCTGTGTCTCCTCCCTGCTGCCTGTCCCTCTTCCACCTCCACCGTGTTCCGACTAACTTCCAAATTAAAACAGTTGACTGGGGCGTAGCTTAGAATGGTGAAGGTTTTTACAGGAAGATTTTTATTCCGTGAGCCCCATATATTGTGGCTTATTTTTTCGCCTGTGTAGTGTGGTTAATAACTGCGCCTGCCTTTTAGAATCCTCAAGGGGATTATTAGCAAACAAATGTTGGGCTCATCAGGTGCCCCATACGCTATTGATACACTCAGTGAAGATGATCATCTCGTATGACCTTTTCGTCCTGCGGAAGCTGGGAGTCAGCTCAAGTGTGGCAGGTGAATGAAGTGTGAAAAACAGAGCTTAAGGATGTATGTAGTTTCACAGAGGAAGACTGAGAAGCCAGGACTCAAGACTCAGCGATAACTCAGGGTCCTAACTGTGGCATGTATTGGCTGGTGACTAGCATCTCCCTCTCTCAGTTCTGTACCACCCGTTAGGAGAAAGGGAGCTATTTTTAGTTCACCGGCAGTCGAAAAAGAAACGAGGCGTTGCTAGTTGGTCCTCTCCTTTTAAGAGCCTGTGAATTATTTCCAGCCTCTAGGTGGGGAGCAATGAGGCCACTGCTGGTTATTTATGGACTTTCAAAACCCTGTGAGTTCTTTCCAGCCCCTGTGCCGGGAGGCCATAGCCAGAGATGGAAGATGGAGGTGCCTTCATCCCAGGACCGTCCTTGAGCCTGGGACTTTAACCCACGCTTCCTCCGTAGTGGAAGCATTAGTGTTCCGTGTCCTGACTCACCTCCCTTCCCATTCTCTTCCCTGTTGTAGGAGACTTTGTTATCCTGCTCAATGCTGGTATGAGCATCCAGCAGGCTCTCTTCTTCAACTTCCTTTCCGCTTGCTGCTGCTATGTGGGGCTGGCCTTTGGCATCCTGGCTGGAAGTCATTTCTCTGCCAACTGGATTTTTGCACTGGCTGGAGGAATGTTCTTGTATATTGCTCTAGCTGATATGGTAAGTGTGCCGTGGTTTATGGTTGACTCTTGAATAGGAGGGACAGGGCACAAGTTAGAACGGTTGCTTTTTCGTTCTTTTTACACTGATTTTTGTACCGGTGCGAGTTCATTCTTGTGGGAAACAGCTTGTGGGGGCTGGTTTTCCTTATCTTACGGGTTCCTGAGATCGAATCCAGGCCCTCAGTCTTGGCAGCAAATTCTCTTTCACACTGAGCCATCCTGCCAGCCCATAGTTTTGTTTTTAATAACAGCTTTATTGAGGTCTCTTTCACATACCGCACGATTTGCTGGTTTAAGATGTAACAGTCTGGGGGTAGAGAGACAGCTCCGCTGTTAAGAGCGCTGGTTACTCTTGAAGAAAACCCAGGTTTGATTCTTAGCACCCCTGGCGTGGCGTGGAACTATCTGAGGCTACAATTCCAGGGGATCTAACCTCTTCTGTCCTACGAGGGCCCAAGCACCAATGTGGTCCATAGACATATGTGCAAGCAAAATGCCTTCACACATCAAACACATTTGTAAAAATCTAAAATGATAGAATCAACAGTTTCAAGGCAGCATTAGGGTTTCTTGTGTGTGTTTGAGACAAGAATCTCGCTTTTTAGCCCAGACTGGCCTTGAAGTCATTGTAGCCTTGCCTTAGCCTCTGGGTGCTGGGCATGCAGGTGTAAACTACTATACCAGTGAGTCATTGGTTTGGATTTTTGTTGTTAACGTTTGTTTATTTTATGTATATGTATATTTTATGTATATGCAGCTCTAGCTGCATGTACACCTTTATACCAGAAGAGGGCATCAAATCCCACTTAGAGATGGTTGTGAGCCACCATGTAGTTGTTGGGAGTTGAACTCAGGACCTCTGGAAGAGCAGCCAGTGCTCTTAACCACTGAGCCATCTCTCCAGCCCATCATTGGCTTTAAAAGGGAGAACTTTGGTCCCTCTGTTATCATGTCATTAAAGAAAATTGATTGTACTCTGTCCAGGGTCCTTATTTAAATTTGATAGAAAAGGTGTAATGTGTAGGCAAAAAGAAAAGAATGAAAGAGAAAGAACATTACTTATAACCTGTCTATCACAAATAATGGTAACATTATGTCTCCTTTGAAGTTTTAATATTTTTTGAGAATTTCATGAGTGCTGTATTTGCCCCTTCTCCCTCCAAACCTGTGTTGTCCTTCCCCCGCCCCCTGCTCCCTCTCAAATTCATAGCCTCTTTCTAATTATTACTGAGATATATATATATATTATATATATAACATATATTTTATGTACACACAAACACAAACTGCTGAGTCCATTTCATGATGCTTGTATGTATAATGTGTATTGGATATCCAATTAGAGGGCTCATCCCTGGGGAAGTCTGAGTAGTCATTTCCTAGAACTCCTCATCTATGGGTGGGGCTTTGTGAGGTTTCCTCCAGTCCATGCCGATGTGGCAATTGGTGTTGGCGTTGTTCTGGTCCCGTTTCCGGCAGCCATATTGTTGAGAGCTACAGGGAACGGCCAAAGATAATGCCCCCAATGACTTACTTCCTCTAGAGAAGTCACCAGAACCTCCAAAACACCACCACCGGAAATTGGGGGTGGGTGGAGGTGGATTCAAACCATAACTTGTCCCAATCACCACAGCTGGTAAGATGATAACGGAAACTGTAACCCTCACATTTTTCTCTCCTTTCTCAGTTCCCTGAGATGAACGAGGTCTGTCAAGAGGATGAGAGGAAGGACAGCTTCCTGGTCCCCTTTGTCATCCAGAATCTTGGCCTCCTGACTGGCTTCTCCATCATGCTGGTCCTCACAATGTACTCAGGGCAGATTCAGATTGGGTAGGACCCTGCCCCCGGGGAGCCAGTGGCATTTCGCATCAGACTCTGGGCCTTACGTCCCCGGCCTGAGGACTCGGCATCCATGAAGCATCATGGAAGAGGCAGTTCTTTACACACTGGCACAGACTGCCTGCCTGCATTCAGATGTCAGCTGTTTCAAAATATCCTGTCCCAGGAAGAACCTGCCCCGGGAATCTCTAGGTAGTGCCTCAAACCGTCTCCCCGACCCTTTCCACAGATGATTCTGGAACTGAAATGCCTCACGTAGGACACACCTCCCTTTTCCTTCTGGTCACCCCCGTCTGTCTCTTTCTCTCGGAGGAAGCACCGAGAGATGTTGAATCTTTTACAATGTAAAGATGAAGCCAATGGTCATGGTTTAGTTAGAAATATCAGGGTGGTTTCCAACTTTGGGGGCCTGTGATTCTGAATGTGTGTACCCTGGACCTCAGGTCAGTCCATCTTGACATGGGTTCTCACGTTTTTTACAGAGAAAGGACAGAAGATAAGAATCCTGGTTTGTTTGTTTTTTTTTTTTTTCAGTCTGTTCAGTTAACTGATCTCTGAAAGAGACTGGCATTCTGAGCAGATGAGGCAGGGGATCACCTCAAGTGACAAGGAGGTAGAACTAGTGGTGGATGGCCTGTCTCCTTGGTGCTCTCTGGTCCCCACTAGGATGCTGGATGCTGGTTGTGTGCAGCAGCTGCGTCACACAGGCAGCCAGGTGAGCCACTGTGGACAGTCTTCAGAGTGGCAAGAGGTCTGCACTAAATCAATTCATTTTGCCCTGATTTTCACACACACACCCTCTTGGCTTCCTTTTCTAGATACTTTTTAGATGCCTCACTAGGAGCACATTTAAGATGTTTGTGGGGGAAATTGCACAAATTAATCTCCCCTGGTCTAGCCTCCTGCCTAGGTGAACCTGACACAGAATCGGCACACAGTTGTTTATGCCTTATTGTGACAAAGGTAATCAGAAATGGGGTCAGTGCTGGCCAGACTTAGGACTTGTTAATTGCAGAAATAATAGTTGAATACCAAGGAACTCTGGACCTTGAGGTCAGACCTTGAGGTCAGGGCTGCGGACGTCACTGCTGCCAGTGAGTTTTAAAGGGCAACACTGTCTAGCTACCACCTCCTCCCTGGCCCCAGGCAACAGGATTGAAGCCTGAATTGAGCTGAGTATAAAGCGCTTTCTTTGGCTCCGGAAAAACGGATGGTTATGCTTGACATTTCACACCACAGGCCGGCCTCAGACACTGTGGAGCCCTCTCCTCAGAACTCTGGCTTCCAGGGGAGCTAATCTCCAGGTTCACTAAGTGAATTCATATACTATTATCATATTGATAACGCAGATTCCTTAGCCACTTTGGGGAGCTAGTCTCTCCCGGAGCCTTTCTTAGTGGTGCCCACAGTCACAGCCCAGGGGCCATTGTTTGCATGGCTGACAGTACTGGTTCATTGCCAACACCTGAGTCTTTCTGTTCTTACCCAGGAAAACTGTCCATTTAAAAACAGCATATATATGCATATATACACACACATGTGTATATATATGAACACATATATGTGTGCATGTGTGAACACATGTGTATATATATGTTCATTCTTGGGGAAGCATGCTTGCAACCAGGAACCCTGACAACACACCTCGGGGAACATAGAGATTTGCTCGGTTTCTCTCCCGTCCTTACCTCTCTTGCCTTGGGTGGGTTTGAGAAGAGGCAGGAGGAAGAGGAAACTTCAGCAATCATGGTTCTAGATTGAATGTTAGGACCAAGTCCTGGTAGGATTGGGGTCCAGTTTTACCAAAGAACCAATTCCTTCGATGTCAGAATCTAGTAGTTTATGTCATCGTCATCGTCCTCACTGTTGTCACTGTTTGAAGAGGAGTCTTTATCTTTTCTGTTTTATTTTTCCGACAACCGCGTCAGGAGCTTGCAGAGATTGACACTCAAACTCTAAGGCTGAGCACGGTGTGGTGGCTCACACCTGTAATCTCAACCCTCAGGAGGCAGAGTTGGTCGGAGGCTCAAGTTTTGCACCAACCTGGGCTCCATAGAGAATCAGTCGCTGGCCAGCCTGGGCTACATAGTGAGATCCTGTGTCAGCCAGACAAAATGAAGATTAAAAACATAAAACTTAGTACTCTTTTATGTGTGGGCTGAGGGTGTGGTTCGGTGGTAGAGCTTTTGCCTAGTGTGTGTGTGACACCCTGAATTTCGTTCCCAGCACCACCACACCCACCCCCAAAAAAGATTGGAAGATTCTGCTTTGCTTAGTTCACGTTCTTGTGTACTAGAATTTAATTTTAGAATCCCCTCTAGATGCTGTTACTCCTTAAATCCCCTTCATGCTGAAGGAGGACAGTGGCTTTAGAAGAGCTTCAGAATAGTTTTAAACATGAGATAGGGTGCTTGCCACGCACACTTCAAGGAACTCGAGAACTTTCTTGTGCAGACAGCTGCCTTTCAAGGGAAATCCTGGAGCCTCATTCTTCAGACTCCGGTGGGGGTGGGGTGGGGTGCTCCGGTCCAGCTGATTATCTGTGGCTGTTGGCTGCAGATTTGCCCAGCGAGTTGAAATCGTGGCCACCGAATCTTTCTGACTGTCAAATGTTGAACTTGCTGTTTTAAGCATTTGTACATATTAGAAGTCCAAGGGGTGGTGAGTTGTTTAGCGGACTTTCCCCCTCTGGCCTTATTGCCTGTAGCTTTCTGCCCCCTGCTAACACTAGCAAGGAAAGTGCTTGTCACACAGAGGAAGGAGCCCTTAGCCAGGGATAGGGTCCTGTCACTTCACACCTCATCCCTGACCTCACCTTTTGTCACCCACCCCTTACCCCCAATATTTAGTGTCTGATGTCTGGTGTCAGCAGGGGAGCATTCTTCAGTAACCCTTCACCCTGGGTTTTAAACGACTTCTCTGTTTGGGTCGCCTAGGATCCAGCTTTAGCGAACCCTCTTCCAAAGAGATGCAGATAAGCTGGGTGATTTTTGCAAAAAGAAAGAGGATTTTATTCATAGTTCCCTTTACAGTTCCATCACAGTATTTTTTAAAATAACTCAGGTGTTATGAGAAGAATTAGAAAATAAAATAACTTATGTCATGTGGACTGTAAGTGTTTTATTTGTAAGAGTCTATAAATAAAGCTATATTCTGTAAGAATTGGTAAGAGTCCCAAGTGTGGTCTTTGGCCTGAAGATCTGGGCTGTAATGAAGAATCTTTGACACAAGGTGGCGATCGTGTGTTGCTGATTTACAAAGGTTTTTTTTTTGTTTGTTTGTTTTTGTTTTTGTTTGTTTTTTTTTTGGCCAGGTTTGGCTTACATTTTGCTTATGGGAATTTAGAAGGGACTTCATATGTCCTATAATACACTTCTTTTTTAAAATGATTCACTTTGGGTCAAGTGTGTAGCTCAGGAACAAAGGACGTAGCTGTGGATGAGGCCTTGGAAAGAGTAAAGAGTGTATGTATAGAGTTCTGTATAGAACTCTACGTTACTTTTCCTTTATTTTTCGTCACGTTTATTGTGTGCATGTGTGTTTGAGTAGGCATGTTCATGCATTCCAGGGTGTGTGAACAGGTATTAGTTCTCCTACTATGTGGTTTCTGGGGATCAAACTCAAGTCATCAGGCTTGATGACAAACAACCTTACCCCCTGAGCCATCTTGCCCTTTTTTTAAAAAATAAGGGGCTGTTTTTATGGATAATTACTCTTTATAGGTTCTTGAAGTGGTGTTTAAATGTCACGCCATTCTGGTTTAGCTCTTACTGGATGAGACACTTCCAGGGGACTCGTATGCTAATGGTTACCCAGAGATCTCATCATAGTTTGCTGAGGAATAAATCTTATAGTGTGAAGGGGCTGGAGAGATGGCTCAGGGGTTAAGAGCACTGGCTGCTCTTCCAGAGGACCCAGGTTCAATTCCCAGCACCCACACGACAGCTCCTAACTGTCTGTGACTGCAGCTCCAGGGGATCTGACACTCTCACTGACACCCTCACACAGACAAGCATGCAGGTAAAACACCAGGGCACATAAAATAAAAATTTTGAAAACTTTTTAAAATCTTACAGTGAATTGTCAGCAGTTACTAGCGGTGTCCTGAGTATCAGAGTCGGCTCATTAACAAATGGAACCCTCTAATAGTATCCTGACAACTTAACATTTCAGCAAGAGCCCATTAAGGCTTATTCTGGTGGTGCTGGGATGCAGTAATAGACTTGCTCTAAGCCCCAGCCTGAGGCAAAACAGTATTTTTACCCCCAAGCTTAGAATAGCTCTGCAAAACCACCTATCCTGGGACAGCATCCACAAATCATATTGGTCTTTATGTGTGTGTGTGTGAATGGGTGTTATGTCTGCATGTACATGTTGTGTACCTCTTGCATGCCCAGTGCCTGAGGATCGATCATCAGATCCCCTGGGACCCGAGTAGCAAGGGTTGTGAGCCACCAACAGTTGTGCTGGGGATCAAACCTGGGTCTTTCGGAAGAACATCCAGGACTCTTGACCACTGAGCCATCTCTCCAACCCCTCCCGTTGGTCTTTTAATTTGCATTCATTTTCAGCACATGTGCTGGTGGTGTCACAAAGGATGTGGGCCGCAGCACTGGCATCGATCCCTTCTCTGGGACTCTTCCTCCACGTGCTCTTACTACTTTCCTAGGCTGGGTTTGGTTCCTGAGTGATGGCTTTGCTGTCTCCTTATCTGGCCCACGTTCATGTAGAAACTTACTTAAAAGAGGTGAAATTATGGCACCGGAGACAATAGGCCCTGGAGTAAACAGGCCTTTAAGATGATTAGAACTGTCACCGCTGACATCTCTTTGTAATACTCTTAGCCAGCTAAGCCTGTTGGGGGAGGGGGTGAAATGCACTAAAACTGGACATGTCTTCTGAAGTAAGTCATTAGGCTTCCCTCCTTACTGCTGCTTTCCTAGTCAGTGGTACCCAGGTCTGATTTGAGGAAAATCCATTCTGAGAAATGGCAAAGATACTCCATGGACACAGGTCATAACATTGGAAAAACAAATGCCTGTCTATTTTAAAGAGCATGTACACTTTGTGGTCTAGCATGGGATACACATATTCCTGAAGACTGATGGTTTATCCATACAATGCCCATTGAAAGTCAATGTCTTCATTCTTCTGGAATACATCAAATTACAATCCGTGTCTTCTAGACAGCTTTAAAAGTATGTGTGTATATGTGTGTGTGTGTGTGTGTGTGTGTGTGTGTGTAGGTATGTATGTATGGGCCAGTGAGATGACTCGAGGTAAAGGCCACTCCTCCACACCTGATGACCTGAGCCAGGACCCTGGCACCCACATGATGGAAAGAGAGAACCAACCCCTGTGTATTATCCTCTGACCTCCACAAAAGTGCTTATGACATATGTGAGTGCCCCCCCTCTAAATAAATAACAATCTGGGGCATCCTGGAGAGGATCCAGGTTTGTTTCCCAGCACCCATGAGGTGGTTCACAGTCACTTGTAATTCCGTTTTCAAGGGATCTGACACCCTCTTCTGGATTTTGCAGGCACCAGGCACATACATACGTGCTGCACATACATACAGGCAAGCAAAAACAGTCATGCATACAAATAAAATTTTAAGTAATTTTAGGAGACTTTTATTTTTAATTATGTGTATGTGGGGGGGTGGGCGTTGCGCATGTGGATGCAAGTGCTCTCAGAGGCCACAAGAGGGCATCAGATCCCTTGGAGCTGGAGTTGGTGGTGAGCTGCTGGAAACTGAACTCAGGTCTTTTTCAAGAGAGTACTCTCCATTCCCTAGCCACCCCTAAAGAAAATTAAGCCTAAGGAAATTATACTTTTACATATATTTGGAAAAACACCAGCAGTTGGGAAAGACGCAAAGGCTTATCAGAGATCCATGTGTTTCCAACATCACAGCCTCTTCTTACCTCTTCTCACCAATTGTTTTCCACCGTTCATTTGAAAGGAAGTGAATCAACAGACTAGTCCTCTGGGGTAACAGCAATCTTTGACCCTGGCAGCAGGTAGGCGGGCAGGATGGTTGTCACATCAATTGCAGTTAAGGGATAACTAGAAGTTCTCTGACCCTGGTAATCATAAGCCAATAAGTACTTCTCCTGCTAGGCTCTGGGGTTTACTTCTTTCTGTACCTGTGGTTTGCTCATAGATACTCCAAACACTAAGGTTTTGAACAAATAAACTGGGTCCTCCTGAGCTTTCACAAACGCGTGAGGTCGTCTCAGTGGAGGCCCCTGACAAATCTTCTGCTGATATCATTGTAAATGAGGTGTTTTCTCTTAAAATACATATTTTTCTGGTGGGATACAGAGTCCAGGTCTGTAATTCCAGCATTGCAACACTTGGGGGGTGGAGGCAGGAGGATCAGCAATTTAAGGCTAAATAAACCTTAGAGACATAGTGAGTTTGATTGGTGTGCGTGCGTGCGTGCGTGCGTGCGTGCGTGCGTGTGTGTGTGTGTGTGTGTGTGATTAATTATAGATGCTAATAGGGAAGAAAAAAACCTTTCTCATCATGTCTTTCTCAAATAGGCCTGCAACTGTCTTTTCTATTAGTCTCTACTCATTGTACAAAGTAGTGGATTTCGCTGAGACACTGTGATACATGCATAGAATATGTGCTTTGATCACGCCTGTCCTCTTGGTTGCTCCCCCTACCTTACAGTTCACATAGCAGACTCTTTGAAGCTGTGGTCTGTGGTGTCCTAGACACAAGGCCCAGGTCACAGTTTATAACATAAGGCCAAGTAGTATATGCTTTGGGGTTGGTTTTGTTTTGGGTTGGCTGATTCTTGCCCTTCGTATTTTGGAAATGAGTGAACAGTGGAGGACTGGGATTTAGATTTTTCTTTCCTAGGAATGATGATGGTTTATTTATTTGGGATTTTTTTTTTGGTCGTGTGTGTGTGTGTGTGTGTGTGTGTGTGTGTGTGTGGTGTATGTATGTGTGTTTGAGGGGTCATGAATCCCTGCATGAGTACAGAGGCCGAAAGAGAACATCACCATCTACCTTATTTTCTTGAGATGGGGTCCATTATTGAGCCTGAAGCCTGGAGCTGGGCTGGCAGGCAGCAATCCCAGTGACCCCCCCTCCTGCACCACCCCCAGTGCTGAGGTTGCAAGGCACACTTTACTTGGGTGCTAGGGATTCAAACTCAGGTCCTCACGCTGACTTTCAGGGAAGGGCCCAGCACAGAGGACATTGACTTGAGTTGTAGCTCTGTGAAAGTCTAAGAGAAGAAGAACGTTTCGAGCTAAAGGGCCAGTGAAGCAAGAGGTGGGACAGGTATAAGCTTGGTGGGCTTAAGGCCAGGATGTACAAGAAACCAGAGCTGCCCTAACTGGAACAGTCCCCAGAGGAAAGGAGCTGTGCCAGGCTCTGTGAAGTCGATGGGACTCAGAGCTTGTCCGGAAGGGGGAGTTAGCATCTGAGCCTCTGAAGCCAAAATGGCAGAGCTGCTTTGTGCTCTTACAAATATCTGAGATACATAATGATGAACTGTTGACAGGCTACAGGCCATGAAGGGAAGGGGTTCTCCACGGATTCGTTTTGTCAACTTGACACTAAGTCACCTGGGAAGAGGGACCCTCAATTGAGTAATTGTCTCCATCAGGGTATATGGACATATCTGTAGGGCATGTTCTTGATTGCTAACTGACTGTCAATGGGCAGTGCCATCTCTGGGCCTGTGGACCTGGCCTGTATAAGAAGGGTAGCTGAGCAAGCGTGGGCAGACAAACCAGTAAGCAACATTCCTCCATGGTCTCCGCTTCCGTTTCTGCTTCCAAGTTCTGGCCTTGAGTTCTTGACCTGGCTTCCTTCAGTGATGAACTGTAACCGGTAAGCCAAAGGAACTCCTCCAGACAGTGGCTGGCCTGTGTAGGAACTCACTGTGTAGACCAGGCTGGTCTCCACCTCATCGAGATCTGCCTGCCTCTGGAGTGCTGGTATTAAAGACGTGAGCCACCACACTTGGCTTTTCAAGTTACTTTTGGTCACTGTTTTATCTCACCAACAGAAAGCAAACTAATACATGGGCTTCGCCCAGGAGACAATGGATAACATGCCGCTAAGGTTTTCACATAACCCCAGAAACAACAGCCGGAATATCAACCTGTAAATATATGCTTACCAATTGGAAGAA